TTTTTTTTCTACATAAACTGTTCCCTCCTGGTGGAATGACCTGCCCAACTCAAGTCCTTAGCTATCTTCAAGAAACAGCTAAAAACACATCTCTTCCATCTATATTTGACCCTCTAACACTTGCACTCTCTATTCGTTTTCCAACTGCTTGTGTTCTTTAAAAAAAGGCCTCTAACACTAGCTTTCTCTATTCTTTTTCTATTCTATCTACTTGTTTTCGTTTTGTTGTGTATGTGTATTGGTGTGAATGTTTAATATTATGTGAGACAGTGACATTTTGTTTTTAAAAATATGAATTCAATAGTGATTCACACTCAAAATGTTAATCATGGAGGATGCTATTAATAAAGTAACGTTTTCCTGAATTTTGAGCATGAATCACTATTGAATCCTTGTTACAAATTAAAAAGATGTATGCACCAAAACAAGACAACATTGGAGACAAGAGAGTGTGACTTTAACATCCTTGTAGAATCTGCTGTATAAAAATATGACATAATAAAGCTAAAAAAAAAACGAATTCTTCACTTGATTCTGGCATTTGATACATTACCATTCAAAAGTTTAGGATTACTATGATTTTTTTTCTTCTTTTTTTTAAAGAAATATATATTTTTGCTCTTCAAGAATGCATCAATTTAAAAATCCAAAAAGATATCTTCAAGAAACGGCTAAAAACACATCTCTTCCATCTATATTTGACCCTCTAACACTTGCACTCTCGATTAGTTTTCCAACTGCTTGTGCTCTTTAAAAAAAGGCCTCTAACACTAGCTTTCTCTATTCTTTTTCTATTCTATCTACTTGTTTTCGTTTTGTTGTGTATGTGTATTGGTGTGAATGTTTAATATTATGTGAGACAGTGACATTTTGTTTTTAAAAATATGAATTCAATAGTGATTCACACTCAAAATGTTAATCATGGAGGATGCTATTAATAAAGTAACGTTTTCCTGAATTTTGAGCATGAATCACTATTGAATCCTTGTTACAAATTAAAAAGATGTATGCACCAAAACAAGACAACACTGGAGACAAGAGAGTGTGATGTTAACATCC